CAAAAGATTCCAGCAGTAATTAGTTTTAATGTTTCTTTGAGACAATCTGAAAATGCTCCAGAACCCAAAGCAGGTCGATCTTCATTCCGTATTTACACTCGAACAAAGTTACCTGTGGAACACTATCAATTGCTACATCCGAAATTTTGCGCGTAATGCATTAAAAATACGCAAATATCCAATTGTCGTCTCACCCACCTACGAAAGAAAATAACCACTCTACGTCCGGCATCTACAATATGTGAGCCGCAATTTAAAATAGAGCCAGTAGCTCCGTAATTGCACGGCTTTGGTGATATAATCACGATGTGGAGCGAGAATAGCCGCCAATTATTCAATATTAATAATTCACTGCCATTCCGGGCACCTGCGCAAAATCGAAATAGCAGTGTTTAGGCGATGGCTAATAATTCACTCAATTACGTTTATGCAATGAACGAAAGAAACTGCCAAAATTGAATTCGTGTAACGGTAGCTTCCGAAAAAAAAAAGGATGCACATTGTCATCCGAACTGTACCCCTCCGAACTTCTTAATCTATCAGGTGTACATTCACTCCAACCTTACAGTGCCAAGAAAGGCAATGCCAGGTGTAACGCCGTCAGCGTTTCCCTACCAGTCGAGAAGCCGTGAATACCAAGTGTGACATAGCTCCCACACGTTGCGTAAGGGACTTCTGAGCTGGCTTTATGAGTTTCACTAGGTATAATTACGCGCCTCATCTTGAGACATATCCGGGGGTGGTATTAAAGGTCATTAAAGAGTGATTCGATTAAGATTGGCGTTCAGCTTTCAGATCTGAAGAAAAACATTAAAACTGGTATTGCTACCTGGGCCTTCTAGTTTACGTGTCATACCTCAGTAGTTTGCTGCCCTTAAAACGATATAATCACCTCGGTGAGAAACGTTGGCGAGTTCGCATAACAGCGTACCCATATTACCATTGCTCTAATACAGCAATTTACTGTGTAACAAAGCACCCTGTTCATACACTCCGTGAGTGTTTTATTGCTGCGAAAGGAGGGTATGTTAAACATCGTGGATGTTTTCCGGTTAGGATATAAGTACGTGCACGTAAACAAACGCATATCAAAACCTTTTTCTTTTTCGAAGCGGCATTCTTTATCTCAAGGGAACAGCAGTGAAATATTATCTGAAAGAATTAAACTGAATCAAGGCATGCAAGATAGATGAGTGGTTGATGGGTGAGTTGTTTATCATTGGACCTTTGTCATGTAGTGTCTGTAAAGTTGGCTGAGGACGACTACGATGACGACGAATATGATGATGCTGATGATGATAATGATGATGCTGATGCTGATGATTGTGATGCTGATGATGATAATGATGATGATGATGATGATGATGATGATGATGATGAAACAGGCAATGTTCAGCTGTTTTAGTGTGCATTAACATTGTGCTATGATAGCCAGAAAACCACTTCTGCATCGAGGTAAACGGTCATATTAACCAGAAAATATGTAACGAAACACGGCTCTACACACCACCTTGAAGTTTTCACACCACCCGTCAAGCCATTGACCTAAGTACCATATCCTCAAAACGAGATATTGTATTGACTATCATAATGGACACTTCAAAGCAGCAGAGGAATCAGGGCTAATTGCATCAAATTTAACACGTGCGTACTCCTGTACCAGATTATTTACTCTAATCTCCTATTTCTGCACCAGTGCGTCTTATCTTGCATTTTGGTGCGAAAGCCGAGAGTATCTTACCGTTAGTTGTCCATTCGAGTCATTAACCTCTAATTAATTAACATAGGTTTGAACGAATATGAACAGATTTCTTTCACAGCCTAGACAGAGTCGTTTCGTTCCATGGCTGCAACTCCCTAGTCCGAAGGCTTTAAGAAAAGCTACTGTGGCATGACAGCAAGTAACATTTTGTATACACCAGCTACGTATGGCGTCGTACAAAAACTGCATGAATTTAGACGATTCGGTACGCACCTAAATATCTAGCAGGAAGGATTGGCAAGCAAGCCTCAAGATTTTCTTCTTGCGGTTTTCCAGACTTTCCAAATGGTGGCGTCCAAGAAGATGGCCACGGGTAATGACTTCGCATCCTTGGCGCATTTTTCGACTGAAAGTGCCGGGGCTGTTATTAAAGGAGCCGCCCTTTCTTTCCCTCAATTTCTTCGCACACAAAGTAAAACCGGACGTTAGGTGACTTCTGCGCAGTGGGAGCACCTGCACTAAATCTAAAGGCGGACATCGCTACATGTCCGTACGCTTGCCGCTACGAGTTCACTCCCAAGACATAAATCAAGCGCCACCCCCAAAGCCGCAAACCACACGTGCGAAGCCAATTGCTCCCGTAGATCAGAAAAAAAGAACTTTGAGCACTGTCATTGCAGGTGTGTGTTCATGGACCCGCAACCTTTTTGAAGAGTCATCTTCGCTTTTCTTTCAGTTTCAAAGCTTATAGGCCAGCACAAGCTTTTCAGTTTTTTTTTTTTTCTGGGTGAACACTTATAAAGAGGACCTGCGTTTGAATTAAGTTCGCAAACGGACCACGACGTGGTAGCGATTAAAGCATCTTTGATTACACCGCCCCAGGCGTAACGCTGGTCGCTCCTGGCTATTGGAACTCGGGTGATAAATGAGCCTCTAATGAGTGCTACAGTCCATACACTGGTATACCGGTCAGCCCCTTAGGCTCTACTCCGTATCCTCCCCTGCGACTTCGATGCAGTGGAGGCAATCTGGTCACGCAGTACTGGTTGCTCCGAGTGACCAATTATGAGGGATGTACGATTGGCTAACGTGCTCTTTCGGAACATTTTAACGCTATAGAACCACGACAGGAATGGCGGCTGGTCATGCTGTTTCATTTATAACGTATTCACATGCACTATGCACTGCGTACACTTCCTGTCGCCTTAACGTATTTCCAACGTTCTATGAATATGTTCTGGGAAGACTCAAGCAGTGAATATACTCGTGAAAATTCACTAAAAGAGGTCAGGGCAACTGGTCTCGTTTTAGGAGCATTAAAGTTGCGAAATGACATTCTCCCTGTGTAACACAGCTTGTTATTTCGTTTTTAGAAGATTAACCATGCGGCACAACATCGCCAACACGTCTCCCTGCTTGTGGTTATATTTCATTAAATGTTTTCAGTGTAAAGTTTGATCGCTAATGCAGTAGCACCGTTCATTGTACGAATTACTTTATCCTTTGTTGCGAGAACAGTGACTGGTAACTGAATCGGCGCATGTTATGTGTCGTTCTGTTACGGAGACAAACGAACACTGGTGAATTCGTCTCAGCATTTGTTCTGTGTTCTTTCTTTCTTCCTCTTGCCTTCTCCCAGACAAGCTCTGTTTTAATGAGATAAGTCTACTGCAATACCGACCGCACTGTAGAAATTTAGTGGATCCAGCGTTCAGTCGAAACTTCATGATAGGCAGAAGGTTAATTCTGAAAGCTTCACTCCATTTGAATGATAGTATTGGCAAGACGTGTGTTTGGGCAAATCGGTTCAAACTTGATGCGAAAGAAACCGACACTCAATCTATAGGAGCGCCTGTCCCACGTTCCTCTTGTCTATGCCCACAATTTTAAGTGCTCGCTTGTTTCGCATAAAACGATCTTAGCCTGTGACCACCTATGCTGCTGCAGCATATGGAAAGCCATTCGTGGGACTTGTTCCTGGAACAGCTATGTATTCACCTCAATAAGTGCGCAACCAAACACAGTACGACATCAAAATACTCTCATGACATTTATTTAGCAGTCACTGGAAAGTGCTTCCTCTTTATAAATACACACAAACATTTGGAATGAAAACAACTTCAAGAACGCACGCGAGATATACACACTAGACAATATATTGTATAGGTTTGACAAGACAAAATGGCAATCACAGCATGCCTGACGCGTGATGAGACAACCCTGTGAAACATTAAATGGCGTGCGTGTCCTCTGAATCCATTCACGGCGAAGAAAACGTGATTTTGGCACTAGGGCTTCGTAATTCTTCTTCATACCGCGATAAAGCACACTCTAGACCTTTCTGTCACATGTGAAAGTATGGTAGTTAGAATCGCAGTGAATCATGTTCAACAAGGGATATAGAATACGTTGCCTGCAGTCGAACATCGAATGTTTTTTTTTTATGAGATCACGTGGTTCGATCTAAAGCAATGAATGATCAGACGAAAGTGCAAGACAGCAACACGGGCTCAGTTGAAGGTATTTTCAATGCAGTTTAAAACGGCAATCAATCTCGTTCTCGAATTGAAGCACATTATGAACAACTGGAGGTTGTAACATAAGTTACAGTTTGCAAGAAATCCTCGACTGGAAATGATTGGCAGTCGAGTCTTGCGGTATCGCCATTTAAGCCTTGTTAAACAAGCAGACGTAAATGTGCTGACGTTGCAAGGTTTTTAGTTATAGTTAAGCACAAACCAAGCTAGGCAATAATTTCTTCAGCTAGTTGACGATGTGTCGTCGTTTGCACGAGTGTGTAAATACCATCTTGGTGATTTCCCAACTGAGTTGAATTTTCTTTAATGCAGCAATTTTCGATACGGCCTTTTCACGAAAAAAAAGCGGAGGCTTTCGTAAACTAGCATCAAAAAGTATTGGCTTTAAAATTAGCAAACAGTTATTGATGCCAGCAGTTGCGGGAATAGTAAGTTCTATGTCAACTTTTATTACAGAGCTAAAGTTAGCGGACGCGCCTGTGTTGTTACCAAAAATGTTTCGTTGCAATCTAGTGATCCGATACTCTGGTGTCCTGTAAATTGTTTTTTTTTATATTTTGAATGTTCCAGCGAACATGCTTTGACATTAATGACTTAGGAACATATGTAGTCAATCTCATTTACTTACAGAGCTTCAGATATTTTGTATTATTCGCATTTGGTACGCAGGCACATGTTCCAGTCTCATATGGCTAATAAACATGGTAAAAAGCATTTCATTAATTTTATTATTCTCTTCTTAAAAAATTGAAAAATTGTTAACGATACAGGCTCGAGTGATCACCATCACCCAACAATCAATGCCACCTGAGCCAAGGTTTCAAGGACATTACTTTCCTTCGTCGGGGTCAGAACATTTGGCTTCATATCGTTCCTCCATCAATCACTTCTCAGCGCCCCCTGTCTCTCAATGCTAAAATGCCCTAACTTACAAATGAGGCATAAGCTACTTCACTATATGGCTCCAATGATATCCCGAGCTGCAGAATCACTATATTAGTTTGAAAAAAATGACACAAAAAGCTCTAAATATCATATCACTTAGAATACCCGGAACGTTCGACTTTGATGAGAATTTGATTTGTTATGCCATCATTTTTTGAAGAAATCGATGGCAAAGTTTCCTTCATACCAAAGCTTTTTTTAAGTACTTTTATGTGTCATCCCATCAATTGACTCCAACCTTCACAGTGTGAACAAGGCTTTTAGAACGATCACCTTTGTACTTGTCAGTTGAGGAACAACTTCATTGCCCGCATTGCATTCCGTGCTAGACATTGCTCTCCGCAAACAGAAAAAGTGCATAGGGTGCTTCACCGCGTAATCAGTCAATGACACGGCGCTTGTCGAAAGACAAATAAAAAATGACTGCTGTAAGTGAACATGAACATGGTCGCTCCTCCCGCCAATCGGCATAGCCAAAACTTTCACATAAGAACACATAAAATCAAGCACGGCTCACCACAATATTCATCCAACTGCATTCACAAAGCGTCACCATCTTTCACTACCTTAGTGCTGATCTATCTTAGTCTTTGAACACTTTTAGCGACTGCGGGTCTGCACTGGCTATGATGGAGTGCCTGAAAACACAATCATTACGATGCCGGTAGTACAGCTAGGCGCAATACACCAAATGTTTGTCATCGAGGAAACACTCATAACACATACGTACAGGTCCCCCATTCTTGTTCCAGTGGTATAACAGCAATTATTACCTCACTACAATGTCTCTGGTTCGACGAACCCAAACGTTCCACACACTCGCATTCCCCCGATTTATATACACACAGTTAGGCCAAGGAATCCTTCGTCACAGTTTCGAAAATATCACTCCACAAAAGTTACAGTACATGTAGCATTGCTTGTCGCACCAGTCCGAACATCCGAGGCACAGTTCACTGCTCTTCCGTAGGCACAGGAAATGTCACAACATGAATCTGCCTCCGGCTTTATCTACCGTTCACAGCACATCACAAACACCACAGAGGACATCACGGCATGTCTCCATCGAAAAGAAGAGCATTGGCACGAACGGGTCTTCATCCTCTTTGTCACTCTCAGATGGACAACGAGGGCCTCTTCTTTCCGTTTCGATTGGACTTTTGTGACTTGCCGAAAACAATGCCGATCATCTTGGACACTGTCATGGCAGCACCCGCCTTGCGGCGTATTGGCAGAGTCCTAAGAGCCTGCAACGCTCTCGTTTCGCGTATCAAACTCTGGAAGGCGAGCGACACACCCACGTAGTTCTCGGCCGCTGACACCTCGTAGAACTGCGTACATAAAACAATGAAATATAGGTTTAGAAAAGCATTCCTCGTCTCCAACTTGCCATGTTTGTTAACTGTGTTAGGTTTATCATGTTGTAACATGACGCCAGGATTCCTTTGACAAAAATGCATTAGAGCAATCAACAAGCAACAAAACGCGTAATCTGCTTAAGCGTTAAAAAAAAAGTCACCACGACACATCGCCCCTATGTGACAAAGCGCACCGAAAGAAATTTGAGGAGTCGTTCAACATATCAACGCACACTTCTAAGAGTTACACCTGGCGTGAGTACGGTGGTAAGTGAATTATGCGGGCAAACAGCTGACTGTCTAAATCAATTGTTGAAAAAAAGAGCTTACTACTTATGGAATACAGAGCTGAAAGCACGGACATAGACACGTATCAGACACAACAAGCACTGGAAATCGGGAACACTTCCCCGAAAGCACAGGCACCAAGGTATATTCCAAATACAGCAGCGCGTATTCTGTCCCATATTCATCATGGTTCCTATGCATTGAAGAATATTTTTCTAAAAGTCGACCATTAACCAACTCGCGCAACCAAAGTTCGGCATATCACAGGAGAGTCTGGTTGATACAATACCGAATAATACCTTTTTGGCCTGGTATATACGCCTTCTTTTTATTCCCGGACAACGTCTTTCGAAAAATTCATTTAGCCGCTTTTAATACAATCAAGCTTCGGCCCGAAATTTGACAATATGACGGCAACAGCGGTTTTTAGTAGATATCTTTAAAAATTATATAGTTATTCATCAGTACACCAGCTGAAAGTACATGACAGGTCGTATTCGGGACGTTGTAGGACCGCTAAGGCTACATGCAGCAGTTGGTTATGCAGCGCAGACATCGCTTATAAGTGCGGCCGCTACGCGCAACAATGAAACGAATAAATTGCTGCACAAATCAACCTGCTACTTCAATGTTGCTCAATAAAAGGAAGTTGCCGATGTAGTATCTACATCTACCACTTCTTTTACCATTTTTTGCTTATTACGATTCTTGCATAATACGCTTTCTTTTCTGGTTTCCGTTTAAACTTTATCTACGGGACTCTACTGAACATAATTCGCCCTGCCCTCGGTTCGACGCTAAATGGTAATAGCGAGTGGGAAGTGTAGATTAGCACAAGCAAATACATGATGACATACCACAATGAACATGACGATGCACTTAGTTGGGCTAGTCGGTACTGACAATGCTTTCATATATTAGCGAACGTTCACGAAGACTACGTACAACGACACAAGACAACTTCTGAACTTCAAGCGAATCGAAGCCTAGTGAATTTTCTCTGTCACTCGAGGTAGCTTCGCTGTAGTATTCTGGATGCTTTCGCTGTACAAGAATACTGTGCACTAAGGTTACCTGGCAGTGGAAGTGAAGCGATGCTTCGTGGCCATCATCCACTCCGACCTGGCGGCAATGCTCGAGGTCCCGCTTGTTACCGAGCAGAATCATGGGCGCCGAACGAGCACCGCGCACGGCCACGAGCGTCTCGAGCAGGGCCCGCGCATGGTCAAAGCTGGAGCGCTCGCAGATGCTGTACACCAGCACGAACGCGTCGGCCCACGTGATGTGGTCGTACAGGCAGCCCGTCACCTGCGGCAAGAAAAGAGACATCGGGGTCTGTCAGACTGAGCGTGAAGTTCTAGGCCCAAGTCAGAAGCTTACAGAAGCAGATGTACGGTTCTTTACAGGACAAGTGGTGAGTAAAGCTGGCAAGCTTGCGTCAGCCAACGACATTCTGATCAGAGGGTCATGCCTAGCTCACTTCTCCGTTCGACTCTTTGAGCAGTGGCCATTCATCTCTTGAGGGATAATCATCAACAACATAAGAAGTGCAACAAGATGGAAAATTGGCCTAGCTGGGAGACGTTGATGTTTAATAAAACTTGCTTAAAGCTCACCGAATACGTAGACAATAGAATAGAACAGGGCAGCACTCATGCATCTGCTTTACATGGTTCTCCTGAATAATAAGTATTAATTTGTGAGCGTGAGCGCTGTCATGTCCACGTTCATTGCCTGTGCATTAGGCGCGCTTGTGGTGCTCGAATGCTCACCGAAGGTCGCCGGATAGAGTGCAAGCAACGATGGCCCCATTTTCGGTAGAGGTAAAACTGCTCGAGGTTCATGTACTTATATTTGGCGCAATATGAGGAACCGCCGGTTGTCGAAATTGCCGGAGCCCTTCACTACGGCGTCTCTCATAATCATATCGTAGTTTTGGGGCGTTGAAAACGAACAAGTATTATTAATTGATTATTTTTCCGAGTTACTAGCGCACCTGTCTTATATCGTAAGTGTAGCTTCATGCAAGATTCAGGAAATGAGGAGCACCGTAGGTGGCCCTTCTTGAATACTCACCATACAACACGACGAGTCGAGTATTTCGACGTCTGTCGCCACGTTGTCAAATGTCACGTTGTGCCGGTACAGCATGTCTGTGAGATAATAATGGCACAGATTTTAACCTTGTGCCTTGTGGGCACCAAATGTACATAGGAACACTGTCTTGCATATGATAATGTCAGTGTTCCTTAACTGAACACAAAGCTTCCAGTGATCTAACTCAAAGTAGCGTTTCGTCAGGAAACCTATATGTCGGGCGTTCAGTGTAGCTTCATCAAGAGCCGTATACATTGAACTGGGATATCGCATTGCCACGTTTTCGCTTAACAAAGGCAGCACATCGTGGCTAGATGATCTGGCTGTGCCCGCAGATTTATAGTCTGCAATGTGAGGTCGGCTTCAGTTTCCTTACTTGACCTATAATTACTATGGCTGTAGTTTTACATCACAAGTTTGTCACACAGGCTTTCATAACAAATATACACCAAAGCTGTCTCTGAATGAGCTAGTGTAAACGAAGCTTTTTTTATAGATACCCCTTGCCTGCAACTTCAGCAGAATTAAAGTAGCACATTGGACTATTCAGAACATACTAATCCCGATCAGCACACAAAAAGCACAACAAAACACAAGAAAAACACAAAAACACAGCGCTTGTGTCATGCTCTTTCTTGTGTTTTTGTTCTTAATTGTGTGCTGATCGTGATGACCAGCAATATGGCTTCGTAGTTTGCGTCGCCTAATGGTATTTAGTTCAATAAACTAAATTAAAATATTCCCTCAAAATTTTGCTTTTTTCTTGGGTGGCCGTAGTTGACAAGTATAACGAATGTCGTAAGTGGTTTTATTATATTTCGGAATATTTTAACAGAAAAATATAAAGGGGAATTCGGTCATTAAAAGCAGTCATTCCTACCTTTGCTTGAGCTGTATTCTCCGATGTACCGCTTCGTGAGGTATCGCACCGTGACGGCTGTCAAAAACAAAAAAGACGAAAAGGCTCAGTCATGGCTTGAGAGAAGGTTGAGTACTCAATCAAGACTCGGCATTCTGATACATTCACAGGAAAGGTAGCCATCAAACTGAGTACTTCACCTGTACCACCACACACAAAGAGCTAAACATCACAACACGAAAGGGCCTGTGCCAACCTGTTACTCGATAAACCACCCAGGAAGTTAGCTTGTCAACTCGTTCCACGTCTGTAAACTTTAGTGTTCGTTATTAACAAAGAATATATAATAAACAGATCAGAAAAGACTGGTGGAAACACTCTCACAGTCGCACATTTGGCGCGAGCGAATTGCGGCAGAAGTGTTTCCTCGTCTCTGCTTCCGTGATGCGACCACACTTCACCACTATGTCACATCCCCCACCTCACGCACACACAAACATACACACCATCCCCCCCACTGTGAGCTACCATCAGAGCTTAAGCGAAGCAAATGGTGTGCTAAAACGGCAAAAGATCACAACATACAGGATGCCCTAAAAACCTCTCGAGGACAGTGACATCGTTCGGTACCGTGAAGTCTATTCCAAAACACGACTGGCTAAACTGACAAGCGAGACCGTTTTGTCGTCCACTTGAAGCCATCCATTCAGGACCACCCTCCTGGCAACCAGTTCCTGAAAGCAAAAGCGCTTAAAAAGAGCCTCGCAGAAAGACTTTCCCGACGTGCTCTGGTGACCGTATGGCGAAGACGTCAGTCGTGCTTGAGCAAAGTAGTCACCTGCCTGTCTATGTGCCTGTCCTGGGCTGAACGCGGCCCTTCAAATCGCTCGACTTCCTTTTACTCGCGAGCGAACTTTTCTATGTAGCCGAACCGTACCACCTCCGCTGCACTTGTATAATGAGGACTAGTCTGGTTCGCTTCATAAATTTCCCCAAAGACGGCGACACATTCGACGTGCTATCTACGCAATCACTGTGAATAACCGTGGCCAGAAACGGTCCCCTTTATCGCTCTTGCTAAGGCACTGGCTGACAAGCGGAACTCACTTATCTTACTTTATTTTTTCATTTTTATTCACTGCAGAACGTTGCCGCTGACTACTTTGCCTCGCAATAGTGAGTTACTGCGGCGCTGTACCCGAGTGCGACTCGTTCCGGTTGCTGTCTGACTCGGCCTTACTTCACGTTGCTACAAACAAGTCGACGGCGGAGGTTAGGGCAAACTGTCGATTCGAAAATAAGTGGTTAGTTTCCTCGTGTAGCTTTCGCGCTTCGCCCGCGCGTATTCAACGTTCGAGCAGGAACCTGTATGGCGAAAATACAACATTTACGGTACATTCAGCTGAACGTGCCGACCCCATGCGTCTTCAAGCGGCGAACATTTGTATGCGATGCGTGGTACGCTTGCCTTTGCTGCCGTGTCTAATTGCAATAGATCGTTATTCTTCTGGCTTTAAAAAATTACTCGCTTCCGGTTCCTACGCTCAGTATCGGTTTCCCTATTCACCCTGGCAAAGGTGGTCCCTCTAGAAAGAAATTCTGATTGCACTGTTTCTTCTTTTTCTACTTCCGTTAGCCACTACTGAGGTAGACTGAGTGTTGTCCGTACGAACTCTGCAGTACTATGAACGATCGATTCTCAAGTGTGCCTCAGCACACGCAATAACAAAGAAAGTGACCGATGCACACCGACATAGTTTTCCAACGGTAATGTTTCTCTCAAAAGCCATTACTTAGGCGAGATCTTCATCAATCCTCGTTACACATAGGTCGACAAGTGCATTCTTTCGCCACGAGTAATTTCCATTGAATTTTCTTGGTGTTTGCGGGACCGCACCTTTTTTCAAGCCTAGTTAACAAGCTATACCTCAACAATCATTTTACTGCATGCGCCTTACCAGCACGAACAACAAAGATTCACGGATAGTTGAACTTTAGAGAAGCAGCGCTTAACTCAGTGGAACACAAAACAAAGAAAGGATGACAACAGCGCTTCGCTTCTCCTCCTTATGTTACTGTGATGCAACTAACCCAAGCCCCATGAAACTTGCTACAAGACAAAAAAAAAAAACAGCAGGTGCCTCAACCGACTAAGGAGACGCACACACAATTGACTGTGAATATGAATAAGAGAACAAATGTTCAAGCAACAGTTCAAGAAAGAGTAACAAAACGCTTCAAGCAAGAGGTGGGGGGCGTATAAGGTGAAAGTAGTTCCGCCATGACGTCTCTTAAGGGGAACAAGGGGATCCCCTGCATTTTCTGTTATCTGCCACACCCCCTATTTCTCATATTTTTCTCGTTAGCATTAGCTTTGAATAGTGATATTTTACGAAAATTTTTGTAGTTTGCCTCCTTGAAATCTTAAGCACCTCTATTGGCCTGGTGCACCTTCTGGCCATGTGATTCTAATGTCATTGCAAAGCATTGTAGCAACCTTCGTGGCACTGGTATACTACTCCGACTGGCTTAGTCACTACTGAAGCACTATAATCACGACCAAGGCTAGATCAAACTCGGTGACGTTTCCCGATAAGGCAACTGCATTGTCAGAAGTACAATGCATGTGCATTGTTACACCGACAATCATAATGAGAAAGTAACCCCAATGAATTGGTCCGCCATCTTTTACCATTATCCAATATTAGAGTGGATTATTTACCACTTTAATTATTGTGAATGTATTTCAGTGGGTTTTTCCCATCGTAATAGTGTATTGGGGTGCACACCAAGGATGCAAGTGGGCGGTGTCATGTACTTCATTTACTGAAACATTTTTCTGGTTCAAGGTTTCTTCTAATCACCCTGAGTGAATGGAAAGGCTACCCACCCGAGTGCAGGACCGTGCAGGAATCAAACAAGAGTGGCAGTTCACAACAAAAGCTCCACTTGGCAACCGTTTTTTTATAAGCCAGATGAAATGCCTATTATGCATTATATATTCATGCAGTTAACTGTTCTTTTCCGGTACCGGTTCACGATAGTAAGCTGTACGCAGAGGGAAAGGTTTCTGAATTTCGCTGAGGCGAGAACAACATCACCAACCATATCTCAACCGTACCCACTACAACGTCCACCACTATTGTTCAAGGCATTGCACATTATGATGAATCATGGTAAATAATCTGGAAGAAACTTTTAATTAGATCGTGGTGTAAATAAATCCTACAGGATAAGTAGCCAAACACCATTCTGAGAGTCCGTGAAGCTGTGGGTGTACGTAGATAGTGTCATTGACGACGGTCGAAATAAATTAGTAGGCATCTTTTCAGTATATTAGTGTTGTAAGTGTGCACGCTTAAATATGGGCGCCATAGCACTACATCTAGATGTTATTGCAAGGTCATTGAGTGCGCATGCCGTCAAGTTATCAGTCATCGCAGCAGCTCTATAACTTTCATAATCGCGGCAGCTTTCCGTTTCACCAATATGAAGTTCCCAAACTTCCGAATTTTTCCACGTGTTCACCGCAATATTGAATCCAGAAAGGACGCATGAAGTTTTAATATCCTCCATCTTTCAAGCAGTTTAGACCATTCGTTACATATTCCTGCTTCACTTTATTAACTCTGACCAGATAAGACAGTAATCTTCAGTGCCACTGAATGCGAAAATTCGGAATTACTGTCAGAATGTGAATTTATTGGTACTGATACGAAAGCATTGTCAGGCCTAATACATGTAAGGAGGTCCCAAATATAAAGACTGCATCGGGACCCCTACTAAAGGCCTCGACTGAGTATCGCCGTGCAAATTCACTAGCGTCTTACACATTTCCCCAATAAGAATGCGTCGGCCCCTGCATGGACAGCAGGGCTAAAGGAACCAGCTTCCGCAGCGGTAATTCGTGGCGTTAATGCAACCGTGAACAACCAAGGGGAAAAATGGAGCCATTCTTCTAATCTGACAAAACAATCTGGTCGTAAGTTTTCCAGCCTCTAAGCTCTTTGGGAACAAGTCCCCAGAGTAATCCTTTGTCCCATTGTTCTATAAGCCTGACGACGCCTGAGAAGAAGGTTGACGTCTTCAGTAGTCGCTACAAAGCGCTTCCGGCACACAGCAAGTGAAAAATATGCGAGATGAATGTGAAGCCGCGAATTTTGTATGGAGATGAGCGACTGGGAATATATTTTTTATTGGTTGAATTGTAGTTTGGAAGAAAACTTTCTTTCATGTTTCTCGATTGTAAATTTAGAGCAGGACGTCATCATCTAGTTCCTTTCTCTCACAGTTTTGCAGAATTGTGCTTTTAGTAGCACTAACACTGAGTGACACTCGTTTTAGGGGCGAAGCTCCTTAGGGCGTGGGTCTGTCGCTCTTTCGTATCTATGGAGTATTACGTAGCCACCGGTGACTCATACCCGCTCTACAGCGGGTACGTGCCACAGGAGATGCGAGATGGGAGATGGCGGTGCATGGAGTTTTCACTAGATGGACGCATAGACGCACGTACAGATTAGCTCCTGGACGGACAAATGAACGACCGCGCTGACGTATGGACGGATGAACGCACGAACCGAAGGACAGATGGATGAATGAACTCACAGACGGACGCGTGGACAGACCGACAGACGCATGAATTGACGCACAGATGTTCACGCGGATGGACGGAAGCAAGAACGAACGGACGGATGGAAGCACGGACGGGCTGGTGGACGCTTCACCCCACTCATCATCATTCACTCCGTGGATATGCTGTGATTTTTTTTCGTCATTTTCCTTTTCTAAGCCCTTCTAGTGAGCCACTTTATGTTCGGTTTTCCGAATATTGAGAATGACAAACCAGTACAACATCGATAGTTCTTGTTCAAGTTAAGGGTTATGTTGGATGCGCATGATATCCGAGCACAGGTCTACATAATCTCACTGGAAATTACCTGCCAATATAGCTGAGGAAAATCAATGAAATTGCTCGTTGAAAAAGCAGATGGCTTCCTTCGTTCGTTGGAGTAGGCGTGGCACCTGGGACATCATTCACCAGCCATAGACTTTATCTTACGTGCACTCCGAGATCCGCT